TAAAAACAACGAGCGCGAAAGGTGACGCCGTCTGCTGCTTCCGAAAGAGCGGGATGTTCAAGTGGGCCAATCAGGGCGCAATAATATTCTAATGCGTTTGCTCAACCGTGAAGCAGCAAACAAAAACGGTCACCAATCTCAGAACGATGAAGGGCTGTTCACAAAGAGTACGACTCGCTGCGACCTGTGTCGTGGGCGGCTTTCATGGACTAAGTGAGTAGTTTTTTTCCCCGCTTCCAATCCGGTTTGGACCGAATTAGATGGGGGGGGGGGGGGGGGGGGGGGGAAGCGACATCTAGTTTGCGTCGTGAGAAGAAGCTTATGACTAAGGACGCAGCCACTCTTACGGCCAATGCCTCTACTATGGTGCCTGGAGCGCGTCTTCGACTGGTGTGTTTAGCGTCCTATCCCGCCCATACATCAAAAGTGGTCCCGATGTGGCAACAAATGACGCGAGTGTCATGCTGTTGCCTGTCGCGATCCTGGCGGTTGGCCGTAGAAATGCTGGCAAAAAGCACGAGCGAACGCGAGTGTCGCTGACGTCACGGCGTCCCGTTAGGCGTCCCAACTTCCGGCTGCACTAGCTTCCGTGAACTGTAACAGTGAAAAGCGACCTGCAGCAGAACACGCATCTGCTACATACACCATAACTGTTGGGATGCCACCAGGGTCGCGACCGGCGACAGCATGACACTTCTATGACGTCATCAGGCGGAAATCGAGGGACCACTTTTTTGGCCGCAGTAAACACACCAGTCAAAAACGTGATCCAGGCACCATACCTCTACTACTGTTGTAAGCCCCGAACCTCCCAAGAACAAGCAAGTGGAGGAGGCGAGGGTGATGACGAGGATAAGTCTTCTGGATCGCGGCCTAAAGTGTGGTTCCTGTCCTCATTAAAATCATGCGCACGTGCCAAATTGGATAGGATTCTTGAAGATCGTGCGAAAGACAAATCGTGTATTGTGTGTACACTCCTTAAAGGCCGACGTGAAACCTCGTTTCTTTCAGCAGGGAAAATAACCCTCTTAGCGCTCCCCTCACCTAAGCAGCAAATGGGAGCCAAGATGGGGCAATGTAAGAAGTAGAGAGGACATAGGATAAAAGGAGGCGGGCAAAAGTTTAAGGCATGGAGTACACGTCGGTTTTAAATGGATACAGAACTGAAATTCGGAGCTCACAAGACAAAACTGGAGCGATAGGCGGGACGCTGCAAAACCTCTCAAAACATCTTCATAGAGCGATATCCCTAACGGATGGCACTATTTTTAGAAAAATAATTCCGCGATTGAACACGGCCGACCAGGCCGACGAGACATGTGACGTCACGATTCCCATTCCCTCTCGTCTTCGCTTGGTCCGCGAGCAGGTGAACCGAAGCGAGGTGGAGAGAAGCGAGGGCGCTTCCCCTTATTTTCAACTGTTCCAGGAATATCGTGACGTCATAGTCCTAGCTTGATCGCGCTTTTTTTTTTTTCAGACTCGGCCATCCGTTTGAAATATTGATGAGTGATACTTTGGAATTCGTAGCGTCTCGTTCAACACTTTAGAGGCCTTATTTTTTCAGGTACAAAGTTTAGTTCAGCCTTCGTTTAACGGAAAACTGACGAGGCTTCATGTTGTTGTCAGAGCCAGGTGGCGTTTGACATGCAGGTCTCCAATTTTTTTTTAACTGTTCCGGGAGCGTCGGCGGCTCGGTCGGTTGGTACCGTACTAAGGTACTGACCGCTGCGACTGGAGTTACTGAATATGTAATACGTTCGACGATATAAACCAAAGTAAACGCATGCGCACGAAGCATGCCCCTTTGCAAGCGTCATCTGCCATGCTTTCCTGCTGACTATGCACCGCCCCCGCTCTTCCATTGTTGGTAGGGCTATCCGCCGCAGAGGTTGCATACAGCCAACAGAAAGACATGGCTTACGCATCAGCATGCCTTGAGCCCACGCGCTTATTCTCGTTCTTACTGCCGCACCGTTACGTGGCACGGCACTGGCCAGCCTACCTGAGGATGCTCCATTTATCTGATTAATGGCTTATCATTAGTATCTACATGACCGGAAAATCGTATTGCGTGTTTAAGACGCCACGCCTTCGGATTCCCCCGTCATGGCGAGAAGGAGGCTCATGTGGCGATGGCGAGAGGCAGGGGACAGCACGCGGCGGTAGCCCATGCGCGCGCGAAAGCTGGGGCATATGGCTGGGGCAGAGATTCCCAGCGAGTCTGGACTTGCAGGTGTGCGAAGCGCGTATTCCGTGGCTTGTGCTACAAAATGGTGTGTGAACCAAGTACTAGCGCTGGTCCAACTAGGCGAGCAAACTAAAAGGATTTTGATCGAAGACGACGTGATGCCGTAACCGGTGAACAGCGAAAGCAGCGTCATGCAGCGGATGCCTCTGCTAAGCGTACAAGGCGAGCAAACGAAAACCCCCAAGGCCGAAAAAAATTAAAAAAAAGTCCATAGCAGGATCCTTAGGCAATGCGTTAGCATGGCTTTTGGGAAACGCCACGCACATCCCCATTTTGGAAACGTTAACACTGACCCCATAACGAAGCCAAAAAAGGCAGCAAAAATGTAGGATGCAAATGAGAAAGCCAAAACAGAAACGTGAAGAAGTCAGAATTAACGTTTTCTAAAAGGGGAAGTGTGCGGGTTTAACAAGGGACATGCTCCTAATTTCCTAAGGATACACAAATGAAGTTTTCTTTACTTAAAATTAGAGAGCTCCGTAGTTCATCAACCTCTCTTGATGTGCTCTTTCTATAATATATACTAAGCATAATACGGCTCATTGAAACATCATACTCTTCATGCATATCAGCAAATTTGGAAGTGTGCTTAATATATATATATATATTTTTTTTTTTTCATTTCATCTGTTTATTTTATGAAAATGCTAGAGTATGCATTACACGAGCGAGAATTTGTAAAATTTTAAATTGAAGTACTAAGCAAACACTACATGTAAATATGCCATATCTGCCCAATTAGGTAGATAGTATTCCTGTGATTAGAAGCTATAACCAACATCTCAAGTTCAAAAACTTAAGATTTATAGTATCAGACGACATACAGCACTCCTCATTAAATCATACTTAGAAAGTCGCCAACAGTTCGTTAATATTAGCGGCCATTTATTCGATACAAAATCAATTAAATCTGGAGTACCACAAGACAGTATACTGAGGCCACTACTGTTTAATATATGCATCAATGATGTCGTTAACATAGCAGCAAACGTAAAGTTTATCATCTACGCTGATGAAACCAGCCTCTTTTTTGTCAGCTAAAAATTGCGATGAAATATCTTGTGTTGCTAATAAAACCATAAAAATTCTCGAAACCTGGGCTAATTCGAATAACCTTATCATAAACAAGAAAAAAAACTAAGGCGACCTTTTTCAGCTCCAGAAATAAGAATATCATCCTAACAAGTGACATTGTTTTAGACTCGTGTCCAATCGAAATAGTAAACACACTTAAAATTTTGGGGGCAATTTTCTCAAAGCACATGTCTTGGACCAAACATGTGAACTATTTAATTTCTAAACTTGCCAGAATAACTGGTATGTTACATAGACATCGCCCTATCCTTCCTGCTGGAGTTAAGCTGCTTTTATATAACTCCTTATTTTTATCTCACCTGAACTACTGTCATCTGGCCTGGGGTACCACCACAAAACCTAATCTTAAAAAAACTATTTTTACTGCAGAAACTAGTGCTAAGGGTCATATGCAAAGTGCCATATAATTTTCATACTGACTAACTTTATGTTGGGCTGGGTGTTCTGAATGTATTTCAACACTATGATTTTAGATTGTGTGTAAAATATAAACAGGAATGTCGAGATATAAGTAGCTTTTAGATACGCTTCGCATTCCTTAGAAACAAACCTGTAATATATTGCACTCCCCATTCCGATTTCTGGGTAGTAGATGCATCTCGTACTGACTATGGTTTACACATGATTCAAATAACACAGCGAACGCTTCTGAACAAAATGATTCGATCTAATTTTGATATAGAATCCCGCAGCACGTATGATATTAGGAGCCATTTTCTATCGAAGTAATTATGTGATTACACTGACTCCCTCGTAGGTGTTTTTCTTTTTTATTTGCTCTTTGCTTTGATATTAGGAGATGTTTTTCTGTCAAAGTAATTATGATTTCCTCGTATCTGTTCTCTGTTTGCTCTTTGCCTTTATTGTTTTTGTTTGTTTGTTTTTTTTTGTTTTTTTTCCGCTTATATAATTTCTTGTGTGTGCTTCTGCAACCGCTGTGTACCTGTGAGGGGGCTGAGGACTATTCAGGCTGCCTAGACAGCTTTTTTCCTCAGCTCCCACCATATTGGTATGGTAAATAAAGCTATTATTATTATTATTAAGTATATAAAGTGTTATCACTTCGGCCGAGTCACCGAAGCATGACTTACTGTTATCCGCCTTTTGTTTGTTTTATTAACTGCGTTGCCATTGGTCCGTGGAGCGCTATATATATAGTTCCACGCGGGCCCGAAATAAACCGTTCATACCCTGGGAGCCGGCCTGTCTGTTTGGTCCTCGCGGTTCTGTCATACTGCGAGATGTCCAAGTGACAACAGTGGCGACGAGGCGCCGAACTCCGCCGGGCAGGAGGCAAGGGCTGCTCAAGATCCGAGACGGGGGCAATGGCGACGCCGACCAGCTTTCAAGTGCCTGCCTTCGACGACAGCAGAGATAAGTGGGACTCCTACATCGTACGCGTTGAAGCATACTTCGAGGGAAATGCTATTGCCAGTGGAAAGACCAAGAGAGCGCTGCTAGTTTCGGCACTCGGCACGCATACGATAGAAGTCTTAAGTGGTAGCTATGCCCCGCGAAAGGTGAACGAGTTATCGTATGAAGAAGCTGTGAAAGTCCTAGAGCAGCACTACGCGCCTAAGCGCAATGAAATAGCCGAGAGCTATAAATTTTTCAACCGCGTGCAACAACCAACTGAGAGCGTACGGGAGTTCGTTGTGCAGATCCGCAAAATTGCGGAAAACTGCAACTTTGGCATGAGCCTTGACCGGATGCTACGGGATCGAATTGTGTGCGGTGTGAGAAGTAGAGACGTCCAGCGAAGGTTGCTGTCACGGCGGGACCTTACGTTGAATGAGGCGGAAGAAGTAGCAGCCGCAGCGGAAGCAGCTGATTCCGAAGTAGAACAAATGCAAAGGCCAGAAACGAAGGAAGGGGCCATACACAAAATGGTGAAACAGCCGTCAAGAAATGTGTACGGGCGGGAGAAGCACCTTTCGGTAGCAGCGTGTGGTCGCTGTGGAAGTTCATCACACACCGGGGAAAACTGCGGCCACAAAACGAAAACGTGTTTTCGCTGTGGAAAGCAAGGGCACCTAGCCAGAAAGTGTCGAGCTACGGGGTATCGGGAGCGAAGCGGGAAACCTGATAAGGAACAGATGTCGTCGTTGTTGGCGGACGCGTCAGCAGAAGATGATGACTTGTGCATTTCGTCGGTGTACGCAATCAAGTCGCAAGCTGCAACGGTCTGTTTGGTTCAACCAGTCAGGAAGAAGCTTTGCTGGGGAGGCATTGACGTCAGCATGGAAATAGACACTGGCTCTCCTGTCTGCGTCATTCCTCGGAACGTGTATCTTCAGTGCCGAAACCGCTGGCCTAGCCTTGCAAAAAGTGAACTGAGACTGAATTGTTATCTCGGGAAATTGCCCATCTTAGGAGAGCTGCATCTGGACGTTGCTTTCCAGGGCCGCACGGTTCCTGCAAACCTGGTGGTGTTGGATTGCCTTGGACCCAGCCTTTGTGGCCGGGATGTAATCAACAAGTTGAACTTGCTTGGCGCAGAAGTGGCCTCTGTTTCCGCTCACCGAGACCACCAGGATTTGGAATCCCTGCTGAGCGACTTCCAGGACCTGTTCGAGCCCGGTCTAGGAGCCATCGAGGGGCCCCCCGTACATCTCTACCTGAAGGAAGGAGCTCGCCCGAAATTCATGAAGGCAAGACCCGTTCCTTACGCTCTGAGAGATAAGGTCTCTGAGGAGTTAGACCGTCTTGTTCAAACGGGAGTTTTGTCTCCAATAACGCATTCAGAATGGGCGGCGCCGATCGTTCCTGTGCGGAAAAGTGATGGATCCGTTAGAATTTGCGGAGATTTTAAGTTGACTGTGAATGCTGCCTGTGCTACTGAACAGTACCCTCTGCCCAGCATAGCAGACATTTTTGCGTCGATGCGTGGTGGGGCAGTGTACAGTACGTTAGATCTGCGAGACGCGTATAACCAGGTACCGTTAGACAAAGATTCCAAAAAACTGGCGGTGATTAATACACATCGCGGGCTCTTCCAGTACAACCGGTTGCCGTTCGGGGTTGCATCGGCTCCGGCCATTTTTCAGAGAAAAATGGAAACCATGCTGGCCGGCCTGCCAGGAGTGCAGGTGTACTTGGATGACGTGTTGGTGGCTGAGCAGCCGGGAACTGAAAATCTAAGGGCAGTGCTGCAACGATTTCAAGACATGGGTGTGCGGCTGCGGCAGTCGAAGTGTACGTTTAGGAAAAGTGAAATTTGCTACTTGGGCCACAGAGTGGACCAGGAAGGGCTTCACCCCATCGAGAAGAATCTGGACGCCATCCGACAGGCCCCAAGCCCTACGAACGTCAGCGAGCTCCGGGCCTTTATTGGATTGTTGACGTATTATCATCGGTTTTTGCCAAATATGTCTACCCTGCTGGCACCGCTTTACGAGCTCTTAGAAAAAAATAAAGTATGGCAATGGGGACCGAGACAACGAGACTCCGTGGAAAAGGCCAAGACAGTATTGCTAAAATCTCCCGTGTTGACCTTTTTTGATCCAAGTAAACCACTCCGTCTGGAATGCGATGCCTCGCCAACAGGAGTAGGAGCTGTACTGTCGCACCGATTGGGGTCTGTCGACCGACCGATCGCCTTCCGTTCCCGAAGCCTGACATCAGCAGAAAAAAATTATTCCCAAATAGAGAAAGAGGCACTCGCCTTGGTGTTCGCCGTGACCAAGTTCAGGGATTACTTGCTAGGTCGACAGTTCGTTCTCGTCACCGACCACCAACCCCTGGTGGGTCTGCTGAGAGAGGACCGGCCGATACCTCTGCTGGCATCGGGAAGAATTCAAAGGTGGGCCCTTCTACTCAGCGACTTCCAGTACAAAATCGAATTTCGCCCCGGGAAACGCAACGCGAACGCGGACGCCCTCAGCCGATTGCCCCTTCCACAGACCGAGGAGAGCCGAGAGGAGGAGCTGCCAGAGTACGTGTTCGCGATACAGTGCATGGATGAAGCGTTCCTGCCGGCACAGCAGCTAAAAGAGCTCAGTGCCGAGGACAGAACACTGACTACAGTAAAAAGCTTCGTAATGCGTGGCTGGCCGAAAATTCTAACCAAAGAACAGCATGAGCTGCATCCTTACTTTTGCAGAAGGCAGGAGTTGACTGTCGTCCAGGACCTGCTCTACTGGGGACAGCGAGTCGTCATTCCAGGGGCAGCCCAGAAAGAGATGCTCAATCTACTCCACGAGGCTCACCAGGGGGCGACGGCCATGAAAAGGGTAGCCCGGACGTTGTTTTGGTGGCCCGGATTGGACGGTGAGGTAGAACGACTGGCTCGTCTTTGTCACAACTGCACACAGGCTGCTCCTATGCCTCCAGCAAGCACGCCTGTTAACTGGCCAGAAACGGGAGAAAATTGGGCGCGCTTGCACATTGATTTCGCTGGGCCAATTGAAAACAAAATGCTGCTGGTGGTAGTGGATTCACACACTAAGTGGATCGAAGTATGCGTAATGCGCTCGGCCACCACTGAAGCCACCATAAGGGAGCTCAGAGAGATGTTCAGCCGATTCGGCTTACCACGTGCGATTGTGTCAGACAACGGGACTCAGTTTACTAGTCAGCAGTTTGGCGAGTTCCTGGAACGAAATCACGTGGAGCATTTAAAAACCGCCCCGTATCACCCACAATCTAATGGATTGGCAGAGCGGGCGGTCAGAACGGTAAAAGAGTCCCTAGCCAAGTTGTCAACCGGGGATTTGGAAGAGAAGTTGGCGAAAGTGTTGCTGTCTTACCGTCGCACTCCACTGTCGGACGGGAAATCACCGGCCGAGCGCTTACTCGGTTTCCAAGTACGCTCGCGCGTCGACACTGCTGTGCCGTCAAGACGTGTGTGCTCGCCTGACTTACAGGTCCCAACCATTCGCCCTCATGCTGCCGTGTGGTACCGGAACTTCGGGCAAGGTGAAAAATGGTTGCCCGGGGTGGTGGAGAGCAACCATGGCGCTCGCATGACTGTGGTATCTACTCCCGGAGGCAACGTCCGCCGTCATCTCGATCAACTGCGGTTACGGGAGGTCAAGGCGGAAACCAGCGAGGCACCCGCCGCCAGCGGTTCAGCAGTACCTGCACCCTCTCCCAGGAGCCCTGCTGACCAGTTGGCCCGAGCCGCAGCCGCCAGCGGTTCAGCGGTACCTGTACCCTCTCCCACGAGCCCTGCTGACCAGTTGGCCCGAGCCGCGGTACCTGCAGCCTCGGCCAAGAGCCCTGCGAACGAGTTGTACGGCGACGCCACGACCTCAAGCGAGCCCGAAGACAGCTGTGTGCCGTTCCAGCTGCGACGGTCCACTCGGACTCGGAAACCCATTGATCGCCTTCAATTATAAGAGAAGGAGAATTGTTATCACTTCGGCCGAGTCACCGAAGCATGACTTACTGTTATCCGCCTTTTGTTTGTTTTATTAACTGCGTTGCCATTGGTCCGTGGAGCGCTATATATATAGTTCCACGCGGGCCCGAAATAAACCGTTCATACCCTGGGAGCCGGCCTGTCTGTTTGGTCCTCGCGGTTCTGTCATACTGCGAGATGTCCAAGTGACAACATAAAGCAACATCAAGGTACGCGACATTTAGCAACGAACATTGATGGATTTTGCAACCACATACCCTATTGAAAAAGGCCAATATGAACTCGGCTTATTGGAAATATTGTATTCCAATGAAGTTGATGGAAACCAATAAAAACTTATTGTTATCCGATTAACCCAAAACGCACGATGGGAATTCATATCTGAGCACAATATCCCGATATAGTATGCGGTTATTGGTATACAACAGGATATTGGAGCACAATATCCCGATATAACTTGCGGTTATTGGTATACAACACGATATCGAAGCACAATATCCCGACAGAACTTACGGTTATTGGAACAGAATACGACACCGCGTGCATATTGATGACCGACATGGAAATACTGTGCGGCCACACGATATATAAATATCGGTCGTCGGTCACGAGCCCAAAGGAGAATACAATATCGCGTGGATAAATCTCAGAATGAATTCCAAGTTACCAACATGAATTACGTCGGCATATACCGCGGACTAAGAGGATACGTAACACAGTATTGATCGCCCGTGAAGCAACATGTGGATGTCGGTACGCCCACATGTACGACATCGCGTGAATTATATCGTAGAACAGCAGGAGTTACCATACGGCAATACGAGAGAGAACGATATTGGAGATGGATACACACAGAACACAAACATTCCGCGTTGCAAACACATTCACATTGATCGAAAGCGCAAGTGTACGTACCGCACACAGTACACAGAGCCTCCAGCGCTTGAAACGCTAGACAACCACCAAACCATTCAGAATAACTAGCTGGGACACCCGCGACCTACCTTTCAATGAGAAAGCCTAATAACGACGTGCTCATTGGAGTGATCGTTTTCAAACAAATGTTTATTGCAGTTTTAATGCAACAAAAGTTAGGTTACCGATGTTGGAACCCAAATCGAACGCGATACGTGACAATGTCAGTTCGCACGATAAAATAATGAGGATTAATGGCCTTGACAGGTCACGTGCTTGTTGCCCGCACATTTATCGATATTGACCCACCTTTCTGGGTAATCCTAGGTCGTACACAAAACCCACAATCACACACAAGCACATTTCACCCACCACTCTTCGACGCCTGTTTCGCAAGATTCACACACTGTACAAAACGACGCGAAAAATACGTGCATTTGCGCCTTCAAACGATAGGTTACAGACTCGTTTTATGAGAAAAGTTTCCATCGTCGACCCGCGCGCGCGAAAGCTCGAGCGCTCGAGCTTCGGAGGCAGTTCGAACTCCGAAGGGAGGCGAGCCGAGCGAGCGGCGAGTAGCCCATCGAGCCAGACGACCGGCTGAGCGAGCCGCCGAGTGGCCGAATCCGCCGATCCAGCCAAGCCTAGCCGAGCCGCCGAGATTGCCCGATTGCGCCATTGCGCAGCGACCGCGACCGCGCCAACCCGGCGAGACGGCGGCGATGGCGGGACCGACGGATAACAGCTCGTCAAGTTCGTCGCGCACTTTGCTTGTGGGTTCCAAGTGAAACCAACGCACTTTCAATCGCTTCGAAGGGTACGTATAGACGACTTTATTACTTGTAGCATTGAGTTCTTTGGTATACACAGATCAAAGTGAACACTGAAGGACAGAAGGGAGACATGATGTTTTGAAATCGCAGCTTATTTGAACGCATGCGTCCCCTGCTGAAAGCGTCTGGCTGTGCTCTGTTGCAGACGTCATTTCGACTGCGCGTACTCTGATGTAACGTCAGTCAGTGTTTACACTCGGCTAGCTATCACTCGGCTTGTTATCTCATGTGCGAAATAGACGTAGAAACCAGCGCCTCGTCTCTTTCGGATATTCAACCTCCAGCCCCTCGGCTCCCAGCGTGCTTACCGGCGCAAACCGTTCGACGTGTTGGATTCGTGGGCTCGTTCGAAGAGGCGTTGTTTTAACGCTCACGAGTCGCCGAAGTGTTACCGGAGCTTCTCTTTACGAAAGTCGCGATCGACGCTGGGCTCTGAGCTCGTACCTTTTTCTTCCCCGGTAGACTAAGGGTGCCGACCATTCATCTGTGGTGCCGACTGGCGCCGTACGAAGTTGAGAAAAGCTAGCGAATCTGTCAGATTTTCGTGACGCCGCCCAACTGCTCTGCTACCGGCTGCGCTCAACAAATAAGGTAAAAAAAAGCGTTTCCTAATTTTCAAATATATATATTTTTTTTGCCATGTTTTATTTCAGTCGCCGCAAAGTAAATGGCGGCCGTACATCGGTTGACTCACGATTACTGTCTCTACATCGTAGATTGTCTCACCACAATGGTGCCCGTTGGTGTGATCTTATTCTGATAACGTTACACCTTGCTTTTTCATCTTGGCACACTTCTAGACGACCTTCTACACGTTGCACTCCTTGTCAAAATGTCGCTGGTGTTAGAGACAAATCTGAAGTCGCTGTTTGCTCACTCCTTGGTGCACATATTTCATGTTCAACATCAGGTATCTGAAGGAGGGGCCATGAAACCCTGGAGTTTGTTTAGAGGTACCTCAACATACTGTATTCAAGTGTCGTTTTGTGTGTTATAGTTTCCTACTAAACCAAATTGCACTTCGTTCGTAATATACCCTATAACTGTTCACTACAATTAAAGTTGCTATGAAACATTGGCCACGAGAGGTGACTCGGCCAACGCAGCCTGAAAATTTCTCGCATAATTTTCTTCATGGGTCATTTTGGACATTGACAAATTGTCTTGTGAAAAATGAGTGTTATGCACATGTGTTCTACTTTTCGTACAGGTACTTCAGTTAGATAAACCCCAGCAAAGGCAGCAAGACAGTCTCATGGGGTCAGACTAAGGATAACTGCATTCCTGCTCGAGTCCCGAGTCTTGTCACCAAACTTCACTGAACATAATGGTACATTCCCTTTCCTTAACTTTTTCTTCTGAAATGTGTTTTTTTTATTGTTGCTTTTTTCTATTGAAAAAAGGGTAGTACAACGTTTAAACAACCAATGTTTTTTTTTTCTTTTTGTAAAATGTGCAGTACATCGTTTAAACACCCAAGCGTTCATAAATGGTCTCTGTACCAGACAATAGGGTGTCTTATACCCTGTTTCATACTTAGGGTGCAACGCTGTCAAAGGTACTAAAGTGGTGCGCATGAAAAAATAGAAAAAGTGTTACTCCGCGCGCTTCGTGGACGAGTGGTAGAAGGCGCTGCTCTGGCGATATTGACGTCTCGGTGGCCGTGGTTCGAACCCATTTTACGCGCAATGTTTTTTTTTTGTTTTTTTTTTAGACATATTTTTTGTGCAAGAGTGTGCGCATTGACGAAGTGCATATTTCAGTTCCTCCTCCTTGATTTTTATTTATAAGTCGTCGAGAGGCCAGATTTCTACCATCTGGTCTGCCGCTTTGCAAGTGTTATTTGCCTCCAGCACCGAGTTATATTTTTCTTTCGTGCAGCGTGGAATGAGGAATCGCCCTGATAGCGGCCTTGTCCCAAAATTTATAATAAAACATTAATCGACAATAGTTGTGGCCTGTACAGTTTATTTTGAAATAGCTGTCAAGGGTAGGAATCTCCCTCTCGGAGCACTTGCGATGCACCTTCAGGCGAATGGCGTTCTGTGTGAACTCGTCATGCTTGACGGTCCCCGTGCTCGAAACTTTCTTGTTGCGAGGTCTTTGCTCCGGGGACGCCACCTTGCCAGATAGGCACTGCGCCTTGCACTTCGCGACAGTACAGGGAACACTCCAGTGTCGTTACTGACCGTCTCCAGGACTTCACGACCGAATTCTCCGGGGAATGTGTTCTTATACTCCCGTACACATTGGCGATCATCTGCTTGCACTCTTTCAAGATTTTCGCACAACGAATCTTCAAAAACATCCGTACAGGAGAGGTACTTGAGCTTGCTGCGTAAGACGCCATCTTCTCAAAAACAGCCAGTGCCACACAACCCGAAAACCCACAGCGGCTGCCACACGTATGAACACGAAAACAATTTAAGGTGGTTTACATTATCTTTTCCTTTTTCTTGAAAAAACATTTGTGCTCCGTTGAAATCCTAACGCCAATATCAGTAACTAGCCCCGAGGAGGCACATCGAGTCACCCAGCCGGCAGTCTCCGCCGCGCCATCCAGATCCGTCTTCCCCCCCACTTATTCGGTGGACACCCAGCCCCCCTTCACCCGGGCCACGACCACCGACGCCTGGCCGCCACTTCACGCAGGCGAGTTCCAGCCAAGCGCCGGGACTCAGCACGCCGCTGCTGGGTTCCCCACGAACTTCCCCCCTCACATCGCCCCTCCAAGACCTCCTTACGACGCCGGGGCGTCGTTTGTACAGGCTCAGTCCACCGTCGCTGCCCCCGCCGACCCTCGCGGTCCCCATACCACCCGACAGCGACTATTCAACGTCACCGACCCCCCGACCCGCAGGGACATCGCGGAGGCTTTCATTTTCGTACAACAAGTTGCAAGACATTCCCAACACATTGGGAGAAGAGAGATCCAGGAGCTTCAGCTCCTCGAGCTCTTCGTCGACATTTGGGACTGCAGGTGTATCGGACTTCCTCCCCGCAGCAAGCTCCGCGTCTTTGATCGAGTGCGGCTCCTCTACCACGTCGCCTTGTCCGGGTGGGGAGCCGCACTCGATGGCTATGCTGACCCCTCAGCAACCTTTTTGTTGGGACCGCCTGCACCACGAAGAGTGGCCACCCACCGTGGAAGTTCCCCGGACCGTTCAGTCAGTCCGCCCCGAGGAACACGTCCCAACACCCGCTCGCAGCCCCAGCCCCCGAAGTCCCCCCGCAAGAACCCTCCCAAGAAAAAATGAGGCTTCAGAGCTACCCCCCGACTTCCAACCTCCCCAAGAGTGTTTGGACCTTCTTCAAGCCATCGACGCACTCCC